AAGGGGGTCTAGGGATAGGGAACATAGTGCTGAAGAATGTAGCCCTCCTAGGGAAGTGGTTATGGAGATGGCCCAGAGAGAGAGAGAGAGATTATGGCATGAGGTGGTGGCAAGCATTCATGGCTTCTTAGGAAATGGTTGGGATGCCAGGATATCTCGTTGATCTACCCTTACAACACCTTGGAAGGCTATACATGGTATTCTCCCTCGCTTCTTCTGTTTTATCAGGTATGATGCTTGTTCGGGTGATGCTATTCGGTTCTAGGAGGATATTTGGGTGGGTACTCAACCCCTCAAAGATCGATTCGCCTTGCTCTATTCCCTCTCCCTTCATAAAAATGAGCCAATTGCAAATTTTCTCTCGAATCCGTTAATTCTCATCTTTAAACTGGTTCGGTTTTCGTAGAGGGTTAAGGGACGGTGAATCGACTTGTGTTATTGAGCTAATTCATTTACTATAGTCCGTTTGTTTGGACCCCACATCTTCTAATCAAAGAGTTTGGACTCCTCTTCCAAAAGGTACATTTACTTGTTCTTCCTTTCTAAAATCCCTCAGTTCTAACCCCAATTCCCAAGGGTTCCCCTTCAAAGAAGTCTGGGTGCGACCTATTCCCCCAAAAGTTGCTGTATTCTGTTGGGAAGTCTACTATGGGAAAAGCAATACCTTGGAAAACTTGCAGAAAAAGAGACCCTCTCTTTGTCTCTCCTTGAATTGGTGTTCTTTGTGTAAGGCCAAGAATGATGACTGTTTCCATTTGCTGATATCATGCTCCTTTGCTACAACTTTATGGAGTTGGAGCCTTTGTTTATTTGGAGGTAGGTGGTCTCTGCCATCTGATTTGAGTTCGTTATTAAACCCATCTTGTTTTGTATGGCACACTAGAAGAGGCAAGTTCATGTGGAAATGTGTCAGGGCAGCCACTTTATGGACTCTTTGGGAGGAAAGGAATGCAAGAGTCTTCTTAGAGAAGGAAAGAAGATTAGATGAAGTGAATGATTGCATCCTAACAAGAGCAATTCATTGGCTGAAAACCTTGGATATATTTGATGATTTCTCCTTTGATGACTTGTGGAGGAATTGGTTTGTAATAGCTAATACTTTGACAAAAAAGAATAGAAGTTTGTCATAATGGGTTCCGCCTCTAGAAGGTGTCATCAAGTTGAATTTTGATGGAAGCAGCCAAGGTAACCCTGGGCCTTCAGGTATAGGGGGTGTCTTGAGGAATAAGGGTAGCAACATAATTTCCTTATTCTCAGGACCGGTGGGAGTGGGGGACTCTATAAAGGTAGAAATACTAGCCGCAGTACAAGGAATTCAGATCGCTAACCAGCTTGGTGTGGAACATCTCCTAGTTGAAGGGGATTCTCAGGTGGTAACTGGTAACAAGGTGGCTTCTAAACCCATATACTACCATTTGTGGCTACAAAGATCTCATAAAAAAAGTAAAGTGGTTAACTAGCAATATGAGAGTTGAGGTAAAATGTGTTAGCAGGTTTGCCAATACTATGGCTGATTCTTTAGCCAAACAGGGGGTTTCCAGGGAAGATCTTTTTTGTGCTACTTTGTAAGTTGTTATTATTTTGGAAATCAGTACTTAAGTAGCTTGGAGATGTTGCAGCTCGTGCCTCTCCTTGGGGACATTGTATTACTTTCCATTGCTGATTAATAAATTTCTTTCAATTATAAAAAAAAAAACAATTTTGGGTTTTAGTGATGCTACTAATTTTGAAAGCAAATTAATACTAAGTTTAGGAACATGTAAAATTGGACAAAGAAATGGCATTAGACAATTTAATGTCTCCCTTGCCAGAAATGGGAACAAGGGAGCCATCAACAATAGACACTATCCAGTCATGTGGTCGGATGCACTTGAATCTATCATCCAACAAGGTTCAATGTTACCTGGGGCTGAGGCATGATATGCTGAAGCCCGTATACCTGAATGAGCAAATGCTGAAGTGGGAGTAGCAGATATTGTGACTAGTGGCTGAGATAATGGTGCTGAATTCCCAACTTCACTCTCCAACTGAGTTAGAGCAGCCTGGACAACAGCTAAGGTGTCTAGGGATGTGACTCTTGTGCTAGATGAGGGTGCACCATCAGTAGTAACAACCACATTGGCATTTACCCTTTTGTTTTTGAGCTTTGCTGGAACTAGATGTGGATGTAACTGCCAATAGGTGTCTTTAGTATGCTTTAGTTTCTTGCAATGTTCACATTACTAGATCTCTCTCATCTTTCTTTTTCATATCCCTCTCCTTATCACCCCCAAACTTTGGTTTCACTGTTGCTAAGGCTGATTCCAATGACTGATGCTGCAGCATAACCTTTCTCCTACTTTCTTCACTGTGCACTAAAGAGTAGGCTTGTGACAAGGTCACACTTTCTCTGGTAAGGAGTTGTCTCACAATATCAGAATTCAGACCAACTAGGAATTCAAATACCCTATTGGTTTCAACTTGTTTTCTGTAAGTTTGGGCATCCCTCTGACTTTCCCACTCAATTGTCTCTAGGTGGTCAATTTCATGCCACAAGGATTTCAAAGTGGAGAAGTAAATTAAGACTGGCTTATCTCTTGCTTAAGGTTGTTCACTTCACATTTCAGTTCATAGGCCCTAGCAACATTAAGTGGTTGGGAGTATGTTTCTTTCATGATATCCCAAATCTCCTTAGCAGTTTTGCCCACAAGTAGTTTCGGCTGATCTGAGGCTGCATGGAGTTGCACAGCCAAGCCATAATCAAATAGTTCTCTTGAACCCATTTGGCATAGGTTGGGTCCTTCTTAGTTGGTTCCTTCACATCCCCCAACAAATAGTTCAGTTTTCCTCTACCCCCAATAGCCATCATGGCTGACTGAGCCCATTCCAAGTAATTTGATCCATCAAATTTGACAGTGGTAATCTGAATTCTTAAATGTGTTCTCAGTCATGTTACCAGAACCACCAGCCCCCCAAACACTTTCCCCTTGATTCTTAAACTCCATTCCTGCCAGCCCTTTCAAGAGATTGATCAAAAAAACCCCTTTTTAGTGCTGAAACAGGTGTAATTGCACCCAGAACTTGCTAACAGTCGACCTAGAAGGATGAAATAGGTTCGGCAACCACCCAGAAATATTGGAACAGGTCTAATAGTTTTCTAGAAAACAATATTACTCAATTTGAAATACTGTAACAGGTCTAACTATTACCCAAGAATTAGCAACAGTCATAAACTTAGGGTTTTAAACTGAGAACTGGGCGTAGGTCAAGAGAAAGCCCTAAAAAATCAGGAGAAAAAAATAGAAAACTCCCAGCTGCACCTTCCAGATTATTCAAAAAAGGTTTTGATTGAGGTTGACCTCAAGAACAAACACAAACTCACTCGGAAAAGTCTGGCCGCCACCTCCAAACCACAGTCTGAACCCTAATCTTGAAGTTTCTTCCCTTCTGATTCTTCCTGATCACTGGACACCCTCCAAGGCTCTATGATCCCTTGGGCATCTGCTGCACTCTGCCAGCAATCTCCAAGAATCAGCCGATTGACTTATCTCTGCTGAAACTTCTTACCCTAGGAAGTTCTCATGTAGTCGGACTGATTAGACTCACATGAGGAGCCCTAGGTTGGCTCTGATACCAAGTTGTCTAGTAGGACTGCAATCAGTCCTAGTTGTAATGTACAATAAACAAGAAAGAAAGTTTGAGAATGAGAGAAGAAGAAGAAAGAGGAGAAAAGAAGGAGAAGACGAAGTGAAGAAAGTAAAAAAGAGTGTGGGTCATGACTTAGATTGTCGCCCTATTCAGCTATTTATATTAATAGTTTAAATAGGGTAAAAAACCAGAATTACCCCTACTGCTTACATAAGCTATGAAATAATAGAGAACATAAAATAACTACCAACTACCACTAAGTAACATAAGTAACATAAATAGACAAACAGTAGTGGGGACCACATTAATGTTCTACATCTCTACAATAATGTTTTGCCTTGGTGGTATATTGTTTAATAAAACATGTAAAACATTCCACGTTCTTGTTCATAGACAAAGAAATAGTGAAGAGTCTCCCAATAGAAAAGTGATTGGAAAGCAAACAGGAAAAAGTACAAATAATTAAACCACCTAAACAAAGCTGAATGCACACAAGACAACAGGCACAAAGGCAAGGAAAAGCCACTTCATTAGCCAATCCAGGCATCTACTGAAATGAGATGTTGAAAGTGCTGGAAATAGTCTTTCCCTCCCTCCGGCATGGATAATTCTCTCAAGGTCCTTCACCACTCTGCAGACCATCCTTGACCTTGACCAAGAATAATCCTCCTCAACTAACATTCTTTGAAAACTAAACTCAATAGTATATCCAAGATCTGGTAGCAAGAAAATTATGCTGCCCATCCAATCTGCATGAGGGTGAGAAGATCCTATAATCTCCAGTTCATGGGAAGATATGGCAGTCAAATTCCAGAAACAGGGCTTCAGTTGAAGCTGAGGGGAAAAAGTGGAGGACTTATTGGTTGGAGGAGAATGGGAGAGGTGGTAGTAAGGATGGCTGAGAGGGGGAGGGATTGTGGTTGGTGATGGTGTAGGAGTTGAGGAGGTGAGTTGAGAAGGACATGGGTGTTGGAAAAAAGGGTCTGTATTGGCAGCAAAATCTATGAACCATACGAGAATGGATCCTTTATGAGGATAGGGGAGCCCTAATATTGAAGGTCTACACACACCTCCCTTGCTAGCTTATTGGCAAGACAGTGAAGAGCAAGGGTGTTGATCTTTTGTCCCTTGGAAGTTGGAACATAAAAAGTTTTCATTTCTCTTCCTGTAACTTTATCAATTCTGTATTACATGAATAATTTATGTTTCTTTATGGGATATTAAAGTGTGATCTCTAATTTTCTGTCAGATGTTAAATACCCTGTGGTCTTATTCCATGCTATCCTGGTGCAACATTGCACTATTCTACAAGGATAGATTTAGTATTCTTTCATCATCAATGTAACCTCCCTTTATTTTATTTTTGAAAACAGAGAAAGAGAAGAAAGAAGGTCCAAGTTCATTAGATGGTGCAGTGGTACAACCTATGAACTCCGAGACAGATCTTAGTGTAGTTCTTAGTGCTTGGTATTCTGCAGGCTTTTACACGGCAAGGTAAGGACTTTTCCGTCCTCTTCTATTCTTTTATTTATTTATTTCTTTTTTTTGGAGGGGTGGCCGGGTGGGTAGAAAGATGAGATGATACCAGAAAAAATGTCCAGAGGTGGCAGCATGAATTCTTGTGGTATATCTCCTCTTTTAGCCACTTGGAATGTTAACTGGCCAGTTCTCATTTTCTGTTTGTCATGCAGGCCCTATAACAGCCACATGTGAATGATGATTGAACTTTTTTCTAAATAATTTTGTTTTGAAATTATAGATGGTGATAATAGGAAACCCCTTCTTGTCACATGGAAGTGGACTATAGGGCTGAGTGCTGCCACATGAGATGATCAGCCAGCGAGCTTGTAGATCTCCTTTGGACTACTGCATTCTTCCCATATGATCTGCTCAGGATGTGTCATCCAGAAAACCCCTAATCGGTTATAACCAATGGAATGCTGAAAAATGTTACTTCCAGGGCAATAACATGCTACTGTTCCAATAAAATACAGTTCTCTGAGTTGATATTCTCAGCTTGTTTTTAGCACATATGATGAAGGTCACCACTTATCTATCAAATTTTAAGTCATGTATTATATACCCAACCACATTTCCTTTTAATCAACAGTCTGAGTTCTTCAGCTATAATATTATTTTGAAGCAAAAAAAAAAAAAATACTACCTTCTCTCAGAAAACAATTATCCTCTTTTTCATTCCTTCTTTTAGGTCTTTGTAATGCATATAGCATGCTTGAATCTGATTGATCAGCATTGGCCACATGGAAAAAGCTGACTTTTTTTGGAAAAAAACATGGGTTATTTTGGGAGCCCACATGACACACTATCATTTTATTTGAAGATAAATAAAGAAAAAATATTGCTAAATAGAAAAAAGTACAACATAACTAGGTGATAAGGTGTCGCCCCCTCCAGAATACAATTGAGACGATGCAAGACCACAAAAGACAAAACAAAACAGACATCAGCACTCCTTTTATGAATTCAGAGGAGTCCAGAAATCAGCACCAATGTCTTCTTTCTTCAGCCCTTGAAACTCTGGAAGCAGAAGCACACAACCAATAACTGTCGAACTTATGACAGCCACCACCTCCTCCATACTTTCCTTTTTCTCCTCGAAGATTCTTCTGTTTCTTTCCTTCCAGATCTCCCAGAATAAAATCTTCATTTTAATACCACCTTGGATTCTTGGCCAACCAGTAAAGATTTAAGCCGGATCTGACATAGAGAACCTGTCCACCTTGAACAGCTTGAAGAAATATGACCAAACTGGAGATGTAAAGCTGCAATTAGTGTGATTAAAAGAAAATTTGCAGTCAATATCCTTTTAGTCAAAAACACCAGCAATGACCTCTGAGTTAAGTAACATGTAATGTGCAGGAAGTTGGAAAACAGCCCAGACTGTTTTTTCCCAACAGCTGAAGTTTTTCCGTCCAAATGAGTAGGAGTTTAGGATAATGCAATACAGAATGTTGCTGCGCTTGGGGAATTTTCTAAGCAAGGCTAAATAACTGCATGAACTGTAAAAATCTAGTTCATGCAGTTATTTTGGTAAAAAAATTAAAATAAAACAGGAATTGGTAAAAATCAGAACCAGAAACTGATGAAGTCCTACCGTGTTACAAATAGGATCTGCAACTTTAGCTATTTCTCTTAGAGCCTTTGACCTTGATGGGTTCTCTTAGAGTCTGAGAACTGGAATACTGACTAGTGTTGTCTTCTTCCCTTCTGCAGGTATCTCTCAGAGCAGTCTATGGCAAAGGGAGGGAGAGACTAAGTCTTGATGGTTATGTTACAAATTGTGTGCATTGATGTCTCTGTTTAAAACAACATATACAGAAACAGACAAATTAGAAACTGAGACCATGAAAATTGCATTGTAATTTACTGATAAAAATGGATAATGAGCATTATAGACAGCTATAGGTACTGAAATCATTTTTCATGTTTTGTATCTAGCTTCTAGTTTTTCCAGAACAAAAATTTGTTGATTTTGGAATGTCTCTTGAACAGATGCCCGTCTTTTTAATCGAATTGTTTAGCGGGTTCTTATAGGCCCATCGTTATCAAAACATGTGGCCTCTATCCAAGGTGTAAGATACGATCTAGATTGAGGAAAGCAATGCAGGTTATCGTTTTTTTTTTTTTTTTAATTTTTATATATTTTTTTTAACTTTTGGGCTTAAATCAGCATAATTCTAAAACTATTGCATGATGTCATATAAGATTTGATTGGTAAGGTACATTTGATATGTTAATTGAGCAAGCCTCTGGATGCCTTCGCATTTGGGGAGTACGTTCTCTTTCTATTATCGGACTTGGAATTTTATCAATAACTTTGTTCCATCACTCTCTAACTACCCCAAAGGTTGTTATCTTTGCAGGAAACAATTCCTTCATTTCCAATGCAGGTGTCTTATATTTGTACTTAAATTAAAATGGCTTTCTGGATAGGTTGCCTGGACAAACCAGGAAGCTTCCCAGATGGATGGTGGCCCAAAAGCTCCAAATGAACTACATCTGCCTCTTTGTGATGCAACTGACTGCTATATGGCAGATGGAGCTCCCTTTCCTGTCGAAATTTGGGAATTCAGAGGCTGTTGGTACTTAGAAAGGGATCAGTACTAGCAAAGTGAACCAGAATGGAGGGGGATTCTAGTTGTGGGCCTTTGTCTCCAGAGCTTTGGATGATTATATTACCATCACGGGCTGATCTCAACTCAATTGCCGAACACCCTATGCCTGTTTTGAGTCTGGAAACATACAAAAGCAAGTGTTAGAGAAGCTGTAAAAAACAGAGAAACCGTCAAGAGATTGAGAGGGGCTGGGAGGGAGCGGGAAGAGGAGGGAGTGCGACAGAGAGGGAAAGGGAGGTAAAAATCTGGAAACATAATTGCGTTTAATAAGAGGGAAATACTCAGTTATCACTCTGGTCTTCCTCGCTAGAACTCGAAGTTCCAAGGCTTGCTTCCCTGTTCCCGGTATGGAGCCAGCGTCGCTTCGTTTCGGCTTGCCCACGCCGAATCCACACCGTTTCCGCAGCAGTTCGGGGAGAGGGCGATGGTGGTAGGCTCGGTCTCCCTCCTAAGGTAGGGCACACAGGTTCTTTTTACCGGCTTGCATGAGGGCAGGGTGCCCATCGAACATAAGCATAGGTTCGCGAATGCGTTGGCTCGCCCACTGCCACCGGAGCCCCAAGTTATCTGCTATCAATATACGATGCTACAACGCCAGACATTGAGAGTATGAGAGTATCTGAATAACCACACAATAAACCTAATTAAGAGGCTGAGTTTAAGGGTTTGCCTATAACCATGATATGTACTCTTACGTAGGAATGGGATGGGTTTGGGCGCGGGGATCATATTTTCCGTCCCCGACCCCAGTCCACATTGGGGGATAAAAGCTATCTTCCATCCCTAGTTCCTGGTGGGGACGGGTTCCTCGTGGGAATTTGAATCCCTGAAACTTTTTAGTTAATATTACTTAAAAAAAATAAATTTATGTAAAATAAATAAAGAATTTCCCCATCCCCAACTCCATCGGGGATCCCTATTAATCCCCATCCGTCCCCGCCCCACTAAATTGGGTACCTGTTAGGGGGATGGGGAAAGTTTCCATCCCTACTCTTATTTGTTTCAAAATTTGCATTTTTATCCAATTGTATGGCTGTGCAAAATTTTCATATAAAAAACTCGTGCAAAATTTACACCACTTTCCTCCAACCTTAAGGGTGTGTTTGGTTGCAGTGCAAATTTATTTGCACTAATACAAATGCATGAGACTGCAAATGTTAAAAAATGCAAATTCTTGTTTAATTTTGTTTTGGATTTTACTTTATTCTGCTTCACGTGTTAATTTACTTCATTTATACCGCAGTCAAACAAAATAAGCTAAAATTTGAAACAAAAATATGTCAGAATTTACACTAAAATAATTTGCACTGCCATGGTTTTGCATCAGTACAAATTTATTTGCATTGCTACCAAACACAGCCTAAGGTTCAGTTTGGAAGGAGTAGAAATACAAATATATAGTGCAAAACCTTTAATTTTGTATTATTTTATAATATTTTATTGTACATATTTGTATTTATACTCCTTCCAAATTAAGCCTAATTCTCTCAGATAAAGTGGGGATCATATCATTTTACTTCTTATTTTAATCCTCTCTTACAAAAGACTTTTCTCTTGCCTTCTCTTTAAAATCTATACTATCTATAAAAGTAAGAATAAATGTGGTTGGCTTTGGGAAATTTCACTATACTAAAATACCCCATATCTAAGGTATTAGAGATAAGTCTTGTATGAGAGGATAAAAATTGAAGGGATGAGAGATCCATCATATGGATAGCCGAACACTGCAGGTAGATAGGGCGAAATTTCAAAAATTTCTCTTTCCCATATGAGACACATTCCATTTTAAAAAATTGCATTTTCAAGAATCAATCTTGAACCTAAACCGGACCAGATTTGAAACCAAAAGGTGGGAGAGGGATGTACCTGATACGGAGTAACAGTAACTCCCAACGAAGGTGTTCACGCCCAAGGAAAACGCTAAAGACTGCTCCCACTGAAGATGACACAGCGTAGGGTGGAGCAGAATCAATAGGTGGTTCTTCAGTAAGAATTCGATGGAGGGTGAGTGAGCACGACTTTAGATCAGTTTTTCACCAAAAACTGATATCAAGAATGCTTCTTGATTGCTTCTACAGGTAGAGATCGAACTAGCTATGGCGGCAGCAATAGAAGGAGGCAAGAGTAGAAGATAGCGTCAGTCTGACTGGAGCTATCTTCTCCCTTGAATCTGCAATCTGATTGTTTGTACTAGGGTTTGGATCTGGACTCTCTTTAAGAGATAAGGATAAACTCTTATCTTATCTGCAAATTAAAATCAACCCTCCTAATCTAATTAGGAGTTTCCTAATCCAAATCATTATTTGGATATGGACTCTCTGAGTGGATAGAGATAACTCCCTATCCTATCTGTTGATCCAAATCCCAGAACAACCCCTCTTTAATTAGTCTAATTAAACCAATTCGATTTGGGMTTTAGGCCCATTAAGTCCATGTGCTCATTCAGCCTCCAAACTGCTGCCTAGTTGGGTATCCTTGTATGGCGTGGGACCCAAACATTGATCTACACATCAGCCACATGGGTTCAGCCCAGCATCTGTTACAAGGCCTGGCTGAATTCACTGTAGGAAATAGTGAATCCCTGAGCCCATCACCATGGGCTCTTAATGGGCCCAACACTTACACTAAGTGGTCCCTAGGTCAAGACACCTTATAAAAACCCAAGGACTGTGGGCAGATGCAAGATTAGCCCATCAGGTATTACCCTCAATGGTCTTACACTTAACCTCTCAGTCCATAATGATCAAACATTGCCCGACAAGAGAGGACCTTTCTCGGTTGCAAGGAACAGTGTTGCACTCTCTACTCACATGGATCCCAG